TTCACTATCTCCACCCCTGAAGTTGATTTTCAAGGCACCATCTGACTTAAAAACCTTTCACAGGAGTCACAAGTGGTGTTGGTGATCTTGAGAGTAACGAAGTCGGCCAGTTTCTTATTTCAAAAGCGATATTCATAACCAACCTTGTCATTTGCCCCATTTCTGCACTTGCTCCGCCTTATCTCATCACATCCAGAAAATCAATTTATTACAACGCTCTAATTTGACTAACAAGTATAAAAACGGTGCGAACAAAAATCCTAATCGGATTTGCGGTTGTAAATTCTAACAAGCGGATTCCCGTCATTACATCATCCCCCGTTTCCGTACAGCAAAACCAGGATGAATACAGAGATCTCAAGAAAAGAATGAAACATTGTTCTTCTCGAGAGGAAAACTCATAATCCTCGATGTTTTATGGTTAGATGTGAACCTGTTGATTTGGCGTACCAGAAATTTGAATGCATTCAGTGGCTAGAGTAAAGTCAGTTTTAAACAGTCGAGAAATCTGATGCATTCAGAGTTATTCACTTGGTCGGTCGGTAGCCAAGCGGTTCGACGTGGGTGCTTTGTTCACTCACTCGAACTGACTGCCGTGTTGGTCGGTGGTTCAAGCCCCAGTCTGAACGATCGATGTTCATTTGCTATCGTCCAACCTTTGTTAGGAATCACACGTTAAAAGGTAAGAACTTGTTAATCCTCAGCTGGCACAATTTCCGACTTCTGAGGGTTGTCGTTCGTAGGGGTGCGACAGCTGGTTAACGAAAAAACAAATTTTGAACAGTTTTTTTTATACTTTATCATAATACTGTTTCAATAGGTAGATTTCAATATTGCATTAATTTGATTCAAAGTAACCGGTCCTTCAAAAACATCATCAAAACAATGTTTTCGATAAATCGGGAATCGAAATAAAAATATTTTCCGTCACAAAAAGTAATTTTTTTGAATATGTGAATGTAATAGTAATAATGAGCAATGAATGTACATTTCTTTTAAAAAATAATAGTAACATCAAAGGTAATGTTCAAAAGTATTTATGAAAAACCTCAGAATTTTTTTACCGCTAAACACAAAATTACTACGCTACAGAGAAACTGAAACTCAAAATGTACTCTATGGTCGTATAGATATCGCTTCCATATCACATTTTCACGATTAGATGAAAGAACAATTGTTGCCGTGAAGAATATTCATGAGACTTAGACTTGGCGCAGTCGGCAGGAATGATTATGGCTCTCACGCTTGGTTTATTAGTAACGATTTTTGTAAGTAGGTAATAAAATGCTTATTTCCGAATGATGATTTCGAAATAACAATCAATTTGGATTTTCAGTAAAAATATATTCAATTATCATATGCAACACTAGATTTTAAAGAATGTGAAAGACAAAAATTCTGGCAATGTAGGAAAAAAGTCTCTCATATTTAAAAACGGTCGTGAATATTACTTTTTTCGAAGTGTTAAAATAACGGTTTGGTGTTGGGAAAAAACTCCAGTAATATTCGTTACTAGACCAAAGGTTCCAAAGAGTGGTTTACAAAAACAGTCATAGTCAAAAACAGGAAAATTTGACCTCAACAGTATTCAAGATGTCCAACAAATGCTGATGAGGTACTACAGTAAATAATTACTCTTTCGGTTTCCAAATGAATATTCGATCTATGAGTTGAGAAAGAAAATATGATTTATGTTCACTTCAATATCTACATGGGAAAGTAGTTGTTTACAAATATACCTCTTTATCCAGTTTCCACTTGAAAAAAAAACCTGTTGATGATCTACAACTTTTCGAACAGATTCCATAAACATATGTTGACTGAAAAGTGTGGTATCGTAACCTAACCGAAAAAAAAAGACTGATAGACAGCTGAAACAACATTCATGAGGAATGTTTGAAAGACAATATTTCACTACAGATAAAATACATATTCGAAAAAATGGGAAAAACAACAAATAATAGAAAGTAACTACAATGCCAGAAAAAATCTACAATGACATCGCAATAAATGGATTACTAACCCATTAGTGGATATGATATCAAAATCAGCATCAGCAATGAATTCCCACGACATTCGCATCAATCAAATGGTGCAATAATACATCAATAAAACTCATATCCACAGATACTCCAACGAAAGTTGTATATTTAGCCCCGGGTTATATAAATTATGGGGCAATCAATAGGAAGACAGAGATGAATGCAAGCCGTAGCAACGCGACAGTGAAGGATGACCAGAAATGAGCAAAACGATGTAAGTGGATGCGAAGAGAAACTACCACCACTGAAAGGACCTGCTCTGCTTCAGTAAATTCGCTGTTATCACTTCGTAGTCTGGCAGAACATCGTCTGAATTTGGATTAAACGTATCACTTCATTGAAATATTTAGAATAATTTCAGGACACCTTTTCATCAACATAATTATAGGGAACTGTCATGATGTGGCATCAGCTTGTAACTAATAATAACGGCCTTTAATCAAATCCAACGTATTCGATTTGATGAGGAATAATTTCGAATTCGTACAAATAGCTTTTCATCGTATACATATATAACAAATATATCCTAACGTGTTAGGAATCACACGTTAAAAGGTAAGACCTCGTTAATCCTTGGCTCGCACAAGTTTCGACTTCTGACGGTTGTCGTTCGTAGGGGTGCGACAGCTGGTTAACAGAAAAACAGATTTTAAAACAGATTTTAAAACAGATAGAAGATACATTATATAGATATTTTCAGGTAATCAAATGTCATTCAGATAGAAATGAGTCGTTTGATTGACTATAATTGATTTTATATTCGTATATGTTCATAATAACACTACATGCTCGTATTTGTGTGGAATTTTTTTGTAACTCATTTTGTATTTTGTGCATAATTTCACATCAGTTTTGAGTTTTTTTTTTGTTTGAATTGGTATTTTTCATTCATAATTGAAATTACCCGTTGAATTGATAAATGAATTATCTGTTATAATTATTTTCGTACTTCAAAATACTACTATCCTCAAAAGATAGCCATATGCCATTGCGGACTTTCATATCATCTCACATACACATACGTCTTCCTCTTGAATCAGTTTATCCATTGGTGGAACCTATATGAGAGTGCATTGTTTAGTTTTCAAGATTATCGCTTTCAAACAGATAGACGGATATACATATGCGGCAGAGTACTTTCTCCTATCTTAATTGACAATATTTTACCTTCGCTGCCGCCAAAATGAGAAATAAGTGATCCTCGTTCTTTCGCCAAATTACACAACTCATATTTCAATGCCTAAATTTAACAAAATTAGAAAGCATTCTCAATGATTTTCTTCATTGTTCATTCATATGAAAGTCACCGATATTTCTACAGGTAGAAAGAGAATATTCCTGATATGAAATAATGAAAGGATAATATTCTACTCGCATGAAATAACGACTACTCATTCAAAATACACAAAATGCTTTCCCTCGACTTGCGCCGACAAACTTCAAATAGGAGTGACCACATTCCTCGCTCGGTAAATAATATACCATAGTAACATAAACCTCCAACTTTTATATTTGAAACTACCCTTTTTTTCTAGTGATAATTTCAAGTGTGAACTTCCGTTATCATTCATCAGTTCTGTTTCTCGCATCCATTCATTCGATACAGAACATTGCACCAAATACGATATCAAAGAAAACGAAAATTTGTAGGTATTTGTTTGATCCCTGTTCTTTCACCAAATTGTACAATATGGTTATGTGGCTGTCCTTGTGCCTTCGCCATATTTTACTAATCCTATTTTATTCTTCACTGAAAGGAAATATCACCCCACTTTTTCCGTATACTGGTGAAAATTATCCACAGAAAGTGATAGCACGTGACAAAATATTTTATACACTTCTTGGTGACTGTTCATCAATCAAGTTAGCATCATCAGTGGGACTATTTCTCTAAAAGTAATTACAATTTCAATCAACCACAGCAAACTTAAAACATAAAAACGGGTCCTATATCTGACGATATAGGACCCGTTTCCAAAAACAGCTTATAGCAGAATTGACAAAATAACCTCGCAGGAGAACAAGTAGTCCATAACTTATTGTTGTCAAAAATGAGCTATTTTTATAGATGTCCTAAATTGTTCTGGAGTGTGGAAAAAGTGTTCGCGTTAGATTCAGTTCCTTCCAGATGCTCTAATTTCAATTTCCAGCTGAAAAACAGTTTGTTTTCAGATGGTTCATACGAAAAACAGAGGAAAATTGAACAAATCGAAATTTAAAACAATATGTTCGTATTTTTTATTCATATGACAGAACTTTGAATTTTGGGTTTTCGTCTTTCTGAGGACTCATGAAGACACTTAATTTACGATTCCGAATCCACTCATACACTATCTTTGTAGGATACCCGTTAATTCCATCTATCACAGCGATAACTTCTTTCCAGGAATGATAGCTCTTGGTTATTTTCCACACGTCGGACATGTTAGCTCATAAATGAAAAATGAACGTATTCCAGCAGTAACCCCAAATATTTCAAATTGGTCGCACTATATTGAATGTTATACTCGAAAATCTACTTCACACACAGCCACCAGACTATTTCGATAAATCCTCAGTATTTGCCAAATTTTTCATCTTGTTCAGAAATAAATTAGTCTGTAATGGTGGAAATGCACTGCCACTGAGAGAATTTCACTATGTTCAAATGAAATGTGGTGAAAAGAGCAGATGTGTGAACTGTACAGTGTTCGTCGAAAAGCGATCATAACCTCTGAAATGATGCATTCTATAAAAACTGAAACCCCAAGAATGATTTTGTATTACATTTGTCGACTTTCTGGTCTGGGTCTGAGTATCTGCTGACTACGACATAGAGCCTGATGTGACTTGTATTTTTGAATTTTGGATTACAATGAAGTGGGGGATTAAAAAATCCAATCAGGTTCAGATTTCATTCATTAATTTGAACAAAAAACTACGAAAACTTCACATGTGAAAATTATCATTTTGTTCTAGGTGGGAATGACAATGTCGTGAAGAAGAGGAATTCTAATCAACGGGAAATAAGGGTGAGGACATCATTTGAGTAAAACTACCATACATACATGTTCTCTTCAAACTTTTCTTATTGAATCAAAGATAGAACGGAGTGATGATTTCTCCATATGATCCAATCGAAGATTTTTGTTTGTATTTTGTTCACATCGACTTGCAAAAATGATCATTTTTGAGAAAGTTGCCACGAATATTCTGCTACAGTATCATTCATAGAAACAGTGACCTCAACCTGTTTTCCACCTGTGAAAATGTCCAGTGGGTAACAGAAGTATATTGTAGTAATGAGTAATCCAATCACTGGAAGTTCATATTTACATCAAATTGGATATGGACTCTTGAAGAGAAAAATTTGAAATTTCAATTATTTTCACATTCTAGTGCTTATTCTATTATCAGGTATTCATGTCATATTAGGTGTGTCACATTTTGTTTTCAGTTTTATACACATCTCAAGGACAATAAAGAGGTTTGATTGGATCAGATTTGTATGTACAGTGCTCACATGAAAACATTGAGTTTTTGAATTATTTTCCATCTGATTGATTACTCCGAATATTTTGGATTTTAACTGGTGATAAAGTATATATTTGAGATGCTGAGTAATTTCTGCTTCTGTGACCCAGAGTTTAATTACTTCTCAGAATGAATGGAGGTATTACCTGCTCTTCGTTTATTGAACTTATGGTTTTTCAAAAGACAGCGACTTGATTTCATTGATTCGACTGTACGAAAGACTTTTCTGACGTATTCATTTCAGAGTAATGATAAAGCTACATTGTAGAAAACTACAATTTCATTTTGCTTCTTTCAAAAACTATTTTCGTCAAACATGCACTCCATTCAAGTAACAACCACTCATACCTACTCAGCATATACCATAAGATGAACCTGATGCAATCAATGGAGGGTATAGTGTTCATACTTACTACTTTCCAAGGGTCCAAGTTTGGTAATCAACTTGTATCTGAAGTAATGTATCTGATATTATTATAATTCGAAGGGAGTTTATTACTTTATAGCCAACTTGCTGGTTTGTTGAAATCGTTTTCAATTTCACTTCTTAGATTTTGCCAGGATGCTGTATATCATTATCAACTTCAACTTGCAGCATCCTATCAGAGAGCTTTCAACACGCAGGATCAAATAAAGACAGCATAAATCAGATTTATCAATCATATAAAGTGTTAATGATCTTCATCAAATAATGGGTCAGACTGTTCCTATTAATTAAATATTATTCATTATATGTATACTTCCATCAGTTCTTTGATTTGTATCTCAACGATAGTAACAACAAAACTATTATAATGTTGTCTATTTTTTTTTCATTTACCCCGATAGATGACCAGTTTGTATTTTTTGCACGATCCGCTATGCACCGAGGCGAAAAGTAATACTTTCCACACTAGTGCAAAAAGTTAATTGACCTATGCTATGCTACTGTCCTATGCTGTGCTACTGCCTATTGATGGATCGAATAAAAACAGTTCCGGAATTAATTATCCAGCCACACATTGCATGGAAATGAATGTCCCAAAACCACATGAAGTGAGAAAAACTTCTTAAGTTTTTTTCACTTCTTTATTGTATGAATGATATAAGTGAATATTTTTCATGGTCACCTTCAATATACATTCGTAATCACAGTGGTAAGTCTGCTTTGTATCAAGTTATTTTCAATTCGAAGTTGTCAGTTCACAATTTTAATATTTTGCTGTGGAACTGTAAAAAATACCTGGTTTGAATATTCGGTAAAAATTATTTTTACGCCACCCAATATGATTGAAATAGCAAATTTATTACCCGATAAATTTTAAACGTTTATGGAACTTGTTATGTACGGTATGTAACAAAGTTCAGTGAGAACATTACTGAAAACGTTCTTCTATGATATTAATGAGAAAAATCAACAAAACTCATAATACTCAAGCCATCGACAATATGCTTAAAAAAATTGAAATATCTTTGGCTACACTTTCGAACAATAAGAATCTGAATATTCGGTATTTTATCAAGTTGATCTCATTCTTGGAGAGAAAGTATGTAGGATTCCGCCCCAAGAAATCAAAAGCCTTCACCCGACTGGAATTCGATAGATTTTTATTTGAAGCTCCAGATAAGAAACATCTAATGATGAAGGTGACAAGTGAATTGAATTGTGTTATATCTCAGCTTTGTACTCATCAGTGTTTTGTCACAAATAGTTGCAGTATTTTATATTACAGGAGCCTGCAGAGACGAGTTACAGATAGATAGATAGATGATATTAGTAACATTAATTATATCCTAACTCTAACGATACCCATAGCAGAACAAACAAATGTCGATCATTTGTAATAGCAGGAAAAATTAGGAGTTTTGATTATGATGAAATGTATCGTAAATATTCATTTTTCCATCCTCAATCGAACAGTTACATTTTTTTGTGGTCCCTTGGGAGCCGTCTGACTTGTCCATTCAGTCCAAGTTTCCAGAAAACACTACAGCCTCTTGGGCTTATTGTATTTATTCTCCCATCTTCTCATGACACCCATTCCATTAGTCTCGTTCCCTGTACTAGTTTGTACAGGTTCCGTGTTGGATGTTCGTCATATTCTTGCGGACGTAATTTTGTATGTTCATATATTGCCTGCCTCACATTCGTTTGAGTTGTGTAGGGCTGTTTCTATCCCTTCGTTGCATAATAAACAGCTGAGGTCTCCGTTGTACAGCCCCATTCCATTCAGGTGTCCTCTAAGCGGACAATGACCGGTTAGTAACCCTGTAATTATTCTGAGCCTATCCCTACTATATTGAAGTACTTCTTCGGTTCTTTTCTCGGGCGGTTTCCTGAAGAAGGTTCTACTGTGTTTGTTGCCAGGTATTTTTGTCCAGTACTCTGTGTGCTTCTTATTGGTCCACGTCCTAATCGGGTTTCGTACCAATGATTTTGGTACCCCCAGAGCTAGTTCAGGACCTATATATGAAGTTGATGATCCGTGTCTGGCGCATTCATCAGCTTTATCATTACCTGTGATTCCTGGATGCCCTGGCACCCAGTACGAAGTTGATTTGTTCCTGTTTGCAAGTTCATTCAGTTCTTCATGGCATTCTCAGACCAGTTTTGATGTCACCTTTGGGTTTGTCAGAGCCCCTAGTGTGCTCTTGCTGCGCTCTTTTTTTTTTTAGGTTTCAATTTAATAAGCCTTGCACACTGCAAGATAGCATACTTTTCCGCCTGAAAGACGGATGTGTATAGTCCTAGCGAATAACTCTAGTTTGAATTTCTATTCGCTCGGTATATTCCAGCTCCCGTTCCATATTAAGTCTTCGATCCATATGTATACCAGGTGTTTTTTCCAAACATGTTTTCGGGATGACTAATGGTCTTCCACTCTTCCCGGCTTATGATTTTGGCCGTGGAGTTTGTGTTAAAAGTGTACTTCGGTATCATGTGGTCCGTGCACATATTCAATATGTGCTCCTCCATATGTTACGAAACTTCTATTCGGTCTGATCTTTTGTAGTTCGGTGAGTTTTCCAGTCCGAGTTGGCCCATCCTGCCCTCCCCCATTATCACAAAGTGTGAAGGAGGTAGATTTAGGAGTGTCTTCGATGCAGCTGTTGGGGTAGTTCTAATTGCTCCCGTCATTCCCAAACATGCAAGTTACAGTTACAATGGACCTTTCATTGCTTGTAAAATCGGGGGTAGACCTACTAATATTGAAATGCCATGGTGAATGGAAATCTCCAACGGTAGCCGAAGGCTATACTGGAGAATTAATTCCTGAAAGAGCAGAAGAAGCGAACCAAATACTGGGAGGCGAACCAGATACCGTTACTGGGATATTGACCACAATTCGAAAAAGAGTTTTGAGTGGAAAACACCCAAGCAGAAATGAAAACAAAATTTGAAAAGATACTGGAAATAAATTTTGTGAATCAACTGGAGTAACCTCAAAAAAATAAATGAGATAGTTCTACATGATTTGATTTTTATTATGATAATTTGTTATTTACATTGTAAAATTATCTCCCGAATAACCTTTATTGAAATTTGAAATGAATGCCTTAGTCGACGGATGCTGGGGTCTCATTAAAATTCTGGAGCGGAATTTTGGATGATCTTATTCGAAAATGAGTACATGCGTTCATATTGTCAAGCACAGACTGTCTTGTTACGGAATGAATCTGTGTCAATAAATGTGTCGTCATATGTCAACCTATTGCTACTTTTGTAACATCTACGGGTTCATAGCTGGTCACTTCTTGTAATGAGAATGAAAAGCATTTACTTTATTCGTAACGATATACCAACAATCGTCACCACTTGTAATGAGACGACTTTTCAGTGGTCACCACTGTAATAATCCGGTACTTACCTCATTCACTTGTCACCCCTTGTGATGATCCCATTACTTTGCTGTCACCACTGCAACCATACATCATTTAACTGTCTATTATTTGTAAAAAAATATGATTTAGCTATAACCATTTGTGACCCTCTCGCTATTGTCGTGATTGTTCTGGTAAATCAATTTGGCAGCTGCAGTCACCAGATGCGGATTTCTCCACATCAAATTTTGGATGTGAAGGCAATTCCGAAAGGATCTAAAGTTCAGTCTCCTGCACGAAGAGGAGGTCTTCAGTTGCAGTTGAGAACAATCTCAAGAATTCACAGACACTTCTTTCTAAGAGGTTAGTCTGATAGATTTTGAAATAAAAGCCGGCTTCAAACCTGAAAACTACTATATTCGATTTACGCAGAAAAAACGAAGGAGAATGACACTACAAAAGCAGAAACCGAAACAAAGAATAATAATCAAATCTCAAAAAAAATCAAATTTCGTCCCATCGCCGTAAATTCCTACCATACACGAGAGGGATTTTGCTATATAGGTTGGCCTACACTTTCGGACCGCTACCTAACTATGACTCAATTATTAGAGCCACTCTGTATACTCTATATACTGTGTATACTGTCGCCTTTCTAGCTCGTACCGGCTGAACCTGCAGGTTATCTAAGAAGATA